CAAAACTACGAATCTGCCCCGAACCATAGTACAGCCTCATCAGAGTGAGGCTACAGGCAACCTGGAACCAGCAAGTCATTGCAGATGTATCTGGACTTCGCTGGCATCCAGGGGGTACAGCGGTTGCCCTCAGGGGCTTAAAATATCGACCTAAATCCGGCCAATTTATGAGGCCTACCTCAGTTGATACACTCCAGGACTGTTCAAATACAGACCTGAGCTCAAACTCCACTGGAAGCAGATGAGTGGGATACTACAATTCTGAATTACCTAGGGCGATATCTCAAGGCCGGAAAAAAAAAAAGGTGGTCGTTTTGACCTAGGCTGTTTATCCCGGCGCCTGGGCACCCAACTTCTGCCCAGGTACACGCCCGGGTGCCCTGCCGGGCATGACCCCCGGGCAGGGTTCCGGGCAGCCTCAGCGCAAAAAAAAAAAAAAAAAAAAAATCAAAAAAATTATAAAAATCCAGAAAAGGAATATGTTGCGTAGAATTGAAAAAAAAAACGACTTTTGACTGAGGGTTACATTATAATTCCTCACAGAATCGGAGATAAAAAAGAAAATAACAGAATCACACAAAGGCACTTCCCTTAAAACCCCCTTTAGCCCTTCTAAAACCAATTTATACCCCCCTTCCCCCCCCCCTCGACAGCGAAGTCGCAAAAAAATAAATGAGCCCGGGTTTGGGGTCGTCTGGGATAGCGCAGACCCCCCACCCCCCAAAAAAAAAAAAACAAACTCTTTTTTCTTTTTTCTCACCCGGGTGCCTGGCCGGGCGTGATAATCTTCCTAGGTTTTGACGAAATTGCTGTTAATATATCTGACTGTAATTAGAACATGACCTGAATGCATCTGTGACTGCAATCATGTCCAGAGCTGAGTCAAAAACGTCCTGGTGTGAGTATGCCCTCAAGGTTGGCAGAGATATTTGTCCACTTCCATTGCTTTCTCGGTCATGCTTCCTCCATGCTATTTTCCGACATCCTGATTGGCGATTTAAGAGGCCTTGCCATTCTAGACGGCCAGGCGTTTTTGCAACCAGCATGGGCCCCACTTACATTCCCAACCTTCCACCTAATCTCTCTCTCTCTCTCTCTCTCTCTCTCTCTCTCTCTCTCTCTCTCTCTCTCTCTCTCTCTCTCTCTCTCTCTCTCTCTCTCTCTCTCCGCACAGGTGCATTTGTGTGTGGTGACGCATGTCTGCACGTGAGATGTTTCCAGCCTCAAGAACATAACTGCCTTTACTGATCACACAAACACCTGAACAGTGTGTGTGTGTGTGTGTGTGTGTGTGTGTGTGTGTGTGTGTGTTTTGTCATGTTCGCTGTACACAACGCCGCCAAAGAAACATGACTGCCCGAGAATGTTTCGTCGGACTTTCACTGACTCGTCAGGTTGTTGAATCCCGACAATCTGCCTGGGATGCCTTTGATCGATGGATGAGAACTCACCACGTTGCCCGGAGTTAGTGACACCCGTGAGAAAAGTGGTGAACTGTACTCACACCAACCCTGCAATCCTAGCAGACTGTCGGTCCAAACCCCTGCCAAGAATGGCAGTATCTCTGAGAAACGCACTCTCGTGCGTGTGTGTGTGTGTGGGTGGGTGGGTGGGTGGGTGTGTGGGTATTAAATTACCACCACAACAGCCGCTATTTCACCCAGACAAGTAGATTCGAGTTGAGGCAGACCAACAGTTAAAGAATTTCAGTCTTTAGCAAGCAGCATGAATCATAATAGAACCATTTAGAACAAGTGGCAACTGCCCACATCGTGTGCCTTAACGGGGAGGCAGAGTAAAGGGGAAGGTGTGCTCCTGTGCATTTCACTTGTGTGTGTGTGTGTGTGCGTGTGTGTGTGTGTGTGCATTTGAGATGTGTGCATGCGACTTGTTATAATCGCGAATGAACAGAAATACAAGTTCTTTGTGTGTTTGGAGAACTTTGGACACATAAATACATGAGTTTGAATTTCATAACAGCCTGTCGCGGAACAGAAGAACTGCTTTTCTTTTTTTTTTTTTTTTTTTTTAAGAACTGCTTTTGTATTTTCGCGTTTCCAAGAAACCGGGTCAATTCATAAGAGCTAGTGAATATTTGGTGCACTAATCAGTAAAATGCTTATACAGAGCGTATAGAGAGAAAAGAGGTAATTGTACCGTGCTACAGGCTTTCATCGGAGTAGGAAAGTGCAAGATCGTCGCTGTCGTAACATACCCTTGATGTGAACTTGTCAAGGACTAGGTTCATGAATTGTACCTAGACAAGCAGATGTCCAGATGCAACCTGCCATATGTATCTTCAAACAGTTGCTCGGTAAACCGTAGGCAGAGAGGGAGAACCTGGAGAAGTCCTAAAGGACAACAAACGAGGGGCTTTGTCAATGATCTTTTTCGTCGCAGTTTCACCGACTCCCTCTCTGCCTATGGTTTATCACAGGCAGTTTCATCTGACGATATATATATATACAGGGTTGCCGGCGTTCGGGACGGGCCGGACGGCCGAACCCGAACGCTCGAACGTTCGGCACCCCCCTCTCGACGCGTTTGGCCGTTCGGCCGAATGCGGATCCACAAAAAAAAAAAAAAAAAAAAAAATCTGAAAAACAAAAATGTTATGCAGAAGAATAAACTAAACAACATCTGCCTCAACGTTATATCCAAATTCTTTACCAAATTTGAAATAAAAATGAAATACTAAAAATAAATAATAATAATTAAAATTAGAAAAAATAAAACAAGAATTAAATTATTGAGTGGGCGAGCACGTTTTTGACACGGCCATCTTTGGCGATTTTGCATTTTTTTTTGGCTGTGACAAATGCCATGAAAATTTATATATGTGTATCTTACATAATAGAGAATCTACAAATAAAGTTTGAAGAACTAATAAATTGTTTTGTTCCCCGAAATAAAGGAAAAACAAAAAGTGAAAAGAGAGAAAAAACAAATTTGTGAGTGGGAAAGCAATTTTTGACACCACCACCTTTGAGGATTTTTCATTTTTTGTTTGGCCGAACAGAATGGCTTCAAAATTAAGCGGGAGATACCTTACATCACAAAGAACTCACGAAACCAAATTCAGAAAAAAATAATAATATTTGGGTGCCAACGAACGTTCGGGGGCCAGCTTAGGGGACTTCCAGCCTGGCAACCCTATATATATATCTATATATCTATATATCTATATATGAGTCGGTGAAACTCCGACGAAACAGTTTGTCACAGCCCCTCGTTTGTTGTCCTCTTCTCTCTCTCTGCCTACGGTTTACCGGGCAGTTCTGTTTGTGACGATATATATTACTAGGCGGCCATGCTGTGCCTCTAGTGCCAGCGGCGTGTCTGGAGTGTATTTTTTGGCTGTGACAGACCTACCTTTGTTTCGTGGATGTTTTGCTGGCTTGTGATGGGGTGTGAACCGACAGTCTGTAGAGT